CATAGATAATACCTTGATGACCGGTCCCTCTCAGTGACGATACTTACAGTTCAGTCCTCATGTTCTAGTCCACTTGCTGCAGAGATATTCGTATGATGTTGCTATGCTGAGCTGCTGAGTTGCTGTTCAGCCGGGCCCATTCAGGCGGGCCCCTATATCGAGTTGTTGCTGATCAGCCGGGCCCATTCAGGAGGGCCCCTATATTAAGTTGTTGCTGATCAACCGGGTCCATTTAGGCGGACCCCTATATCGAGTTGTTGTTGTCTCAGCCGGGCCCATTCAGTCGGGCCCCTATATCGAGTTGTTGCTGTTTCAGCCGGACCCATTCAGGCGGGCCCCTATATCGAGCTATTGTCGTTCAGCCAGGGCCATTCGGGTGGGCCTCCATGCTGAGTTGATTGCTGATCCCATCGAGTTGGGCTATTTTCGTGAGTTGATGGTACCCCTTTTATCGCCGGGACATCATTGCTTGGCCTGACCACTTGTCAGGTGCAGATCGGTCAAGCTGGCTCCTCAACATAAGACAACCCCTACATGGGGTAAGTTGGTTGAGAAGTTCTGCTATCGACACATTGGACATCAGAGCTTCGTCATCAGGGCCAATGAGTCACCCACATCGAGATACACGTTGGTGATCACTTATCACCTGAGAGATGCTGGGCAAGGAGTAAAGGGAGCCACCTATGACAGGATTGCGGACTATATCTTCCGCAGGGAGAGTTACTGGAGGGAGCACTGGTTACATGTGGTGTTTCCCCGGGTCCCCTTTGCACCAGGTGGTGCTCTCTTTGATTTCGATGGTTGTAATCCAAGACCACTGAGCAGAGGTGGCAGCAAGGAGAAGAGGCGTCAGGATAGAAGGATTAGGAGCGAGGTGGCCAGATCCGGGATACCTATTACCACCTGTCTACAGAGGTCAGAGACAGATGAGTCAGACCAAGAGCCTTGCTGTGAGAGCGACGTTGATTTCGGGGACTATTTTGACTGGGATACTCACAGGGACTGAGTACGCTTGAGATTGGAGCAGATCCAGAGCATCTTATGACATTGGTCACTGGGGCGAGACGCAGGCGGAAAGCAGCCCTACGACGGGTTGCTTATCTTTTGGCATGATACTTGCTTGAGGGTGATTGATCTAGACATTACATGTCAGGAGGACCTAGGTCGGAGGAGGTAGCCGGCCCTTCTAGGGGGAAGGGACCAGTTCCATATCTTGGAGATGGCTACAGTCACTTGGTGGGAGCAGACTTCTTTATACATGTTTTTCAAAAGCCACTTTATGGAGACCGTTTTCTGGAGGTTTCCTATGACTACATCTACGGCAGGGGACGGATTGAGATCTTGATCGGAGCCACTGGCCGCATTTCCCTCGCCGAGGAGCTGTACCTCCGGAGTGTCGCGGACGAGGAGATGGCGAGATGTATGGCATATATTAGCAAGATCGACCTTGCAGCATCTTTTGACATCAGCTATGTGGTCCTGGAGTCTATAGTCACTCAGGTTCTCAATGATGAGGAGGACCAGCGTGTACCAGATATGGAGTCCCAGGCAGTCGAGCCCACTCATGAGGGAATACCACTCGTTGTTATTGACTGAGGTTTGTATCTTCTAGTCACTGAGATGTATTATGACATTATTATGATTTATCAGTGATTGCAGCCCCTCCTTTATGGCTGCTTCCTGCATTCGATGTGATCTTCTCTTCAGTCTCGTTTCTGGTCATGCTCTTGCAGAGTCTGGTTTCTGGTCTTCTCGTCCTCTCAGCATCATTTGATTTATGATGCATGTCCTATAATGCATGAAATGTTTATGCATGAGGTAACAAGTTATTTATCATTCCTTATCATAACAGGTTACACTCAAGGCTACTTGAAGGACTCCTGGATAATAGGGACTCCGGTGACCTTGAGTCTAGCCTTTATACGGGGTCAGATGCAGAGGATAAAACTGAACGCCTCACTCTAAGTCGTGTCGCCGCTGGCAGGAGGGATAACCCAAACTACTTGACTGTGTGACAAATGCTGCTTGTGATTTTTACTGCCAATTTTCCTAAAACTCTCCAAAATCCTGCGTGACAGCCTGCCAGTCCACCAACCCACCGCACTCGGCCCGGGGAGGGACATCGAACCAGGCCCTGGAACGGTGGCGGCGCGACAAAAATGGCGTCGTTGCCGGGGACTCAAAAATGTTGAGTTCCTGGGAGCGGAACTTGGTCACAATATTCAGTGACTAGGCAGCAGTCTAACATTTCGTACAAGGTCTGGCTCAGGTCAGGAAGACTTTTCGGCTAGAGGAGCCCCGAGAGGAGGGGCCTTTTGTAGAAGTCTATTTGAAAACCTGCAAGCAAGGGTTTGAAATTTGTTTTCTAGACCCTTCGCTTGACAAGTCTATATGTCAGAAACCAGACGATGAGTGAAGAGTATAATGTTCTAGAAGCCCTAAATCGTGTCACCTACGGTGGTGCCTTCCCTTATATGTTTGTCACATGCATTACTTGTGTGAAAAGTACAACGATTGTGCATGTGCTTGTCTCTAGATTCCTTGACACTGATGATTATAATATTCGACCTTACATACTAGAAGGGGTTGATCGGGATCCGAGTTTCTTTACCAACTGGGATGTCATAGTGAGATGTGTCGAAGTAGAGAGGGATCAACTGAGACAACAAGGGATAAAGGCGAGTTAAAGCTTATTGCCCAAAGTCTACGAGAAGATTCCTACCCCGCCAGTACCTAAAGGATTCTGCGATGGTAGGAACTGGCAGCCAATCATCAATGCAGCGTAGAGAAGGCAAAGTTGGTAGGCAGCCCATGTCGGCAGTAACTAGAGCGATAGAGACACTGACCAGGATCATGGCTGGAGGTGCCTTCCCATACGTCATTGAGAGGTGTGTAAATTGTGAGCACGACTAAGTGATTCTATACGTCCTTGTAGTCCGATTCCTTGATACAAATGAGTATGATGTAAGGCCATATGTATCTGCTGGAACAAGGAGAGGGACTGACTATGAGGCATGTTGGGTAGTTGTTGCTGAGTATGTCATAAATGAAAGGTTGTTGTTGAAACAACAAGGAAAGAAAGTGACGTGGAGTGTCCTACCTAGAGAGTTTGAGAGATTCCCAAACCCTCCTGTGCCTACTAGCTTTAGCGACGGGAAGGACTGGGGACCAATCCTCAATGCGGTATTAAGGGATCGAGTGTGGTGAGGTATGCCGATCGATGTTTACACTCCTGATCATGGAGAGAGCTTCTGTTTTGAGGTCTATCTAGACGAACAGCAAGCGACTGTCATCAGGGTTGTGAGAGGATGCGATACTAGGTTAGGTAGGCACGACGAGATTGGCATGGTAGAGCACTACCTTGAGCTTATGCGAGCGGCTGCTTTTAGAGCAATTACAGGTCAGACTAAGATTAGGCATCTGCTAGATTGCAAGAGTTCGGATGGCAGGAGAGTGATACTACATGCGAGAGATGAGACCATCCTATCTAGACAGCGTCCTGCGAACAGTCTGGCTAGAGGCGCTAGAAGCAGCCCAAGGCAATGATACTGGAATGTGAAAACTCTATGTCAATTGCGACTGTGACCATTGGCAGAGGATGGTTAGATAAAGTAATTGAGACTGACAGTCCGTTCAGGATATTGCGACACGGCGTCTGTAAGAAAGGGCGTTTAGTATTCTATGTCCCAGTGGTTAGATTTTTTAAGACTAACGAGCTTGACGTGAGGGCTTATGCTCAGGAAGGAATAAAAGAGGAAGAAAGTTATTGGGAGTGTTTGAGGAGAGTGTATATTCACCTTTCAAGGGTAAGGGAGCTACTTCGAAGCTTGCATGAGAAAGTGACTTGCGGAAAACGAGTCAGACAATTCGAAAGACTACCTAGTTTTCTGACTACGGACAGCTTCGCCGACAAGAGAGATTGGGCGCCTCTTCTAGAAGTTATTACCGTGGTTGGTAAAGCAACGGAGAATGACCTAGTCATGCGGCCAAAGACGCTGTTTCTTGAGACCTTTGTACGTCGGTTCGAAGTTCAAGACGAAGCTTCTCCTGAGTTTTTTCTCACCTGACAATGGAAAGGAGCTTGTTATGGCTGAGGAGTATGTTAGTTTTCTAGGAAGAAAGCATCTTTGGGGGAAGGCTGAAGGAGAGGCGTTACATGATAATAATTTTTCGGTCATCTCGCGCTTAATACGGGATTTAAAACCCTTCACGGTTGGAGGAGAGTTTCCTTATGAGATTGAGAGATACACTGTCTTAGCCATACCTGAAGCAGAGGAGAAGGTGTATGTGTTAGTAACTCGCTTCCTAGAGACCAATGAGTATGACGTGAGTATATACACTCCAGTGACTAGAAAGATTTGACGGCGGTATACTGGATGTCACAAGGGGCCACTCAGTCACGTCTACAAGTACAGGAACGAACTCAAGAAGGAAGGTAAGAAAGTTACCTGGAGTGTGGAGCCTACTGAGTATGAGAACTTCCTAAGTCCTCCCATTCCGAATAGCTTCATCAACGGTGAGGACCGGGAGCCTATTCTTAATGTTGTTTTAAGAAATAGAAAGTGGAGCAGTGTCAACCTTCACGATTCAAGTCAGAAGGTTCAGTAGGCACTGGGCAAGATTAGAAGGATTGAAGATAAAAAATGTATCATGGGGGGTTGCTAGGGGCTAGGCAATGTCTGGATACTGCCCAAGGATCACGGCGGCACTAGACGCCTTAGTTCCTTTTACCAGTGGAGGAGTTTTTCCCTACAAGATAGAGCGTTGCATATCCCTGGAGGAGAAGCATGCACCTGGGAAGGCGTATGTCCTTGTAGTGAAGTTCCTTGACACTGGTGAATACGATACTCCGCCCTATATTCCCTCATTGAGAGAGAAAGGGACAGATCGTGAGTCTCTTCGAAATATGATTAGTAATATAGTTAACCAAAAGAAGAGGAAATTAGAAAGAAAAGGGATAAGAGTAGTTAATGACTTAACACTGATTGTGTTTGATAGGTTTCCTGAGCCCCATCAACCAGAAAGTTTTACTGACGGCAAGAACTGGGAATCAATTTTTAAATGCAATCATAAGAGAGAAAAGGTTCAGGAAGAAGTAGGAGCGTAATCGGTAAACTGGAGAGGATGGTCAAAGGACCGAACGCACGACAGAGCCGTGCTAGTTCCTCTGCTGGGGATGGAGAAGTGACCACTACTGTGGTTCTTCGAGAGATGTTGAACCGAATAGAGGCCATGAAGACCGGGATGGATACTATGAATATCCGTCTAGACCTTCCAAGAGCTAAGGTACCTCCAAAGAACATACCCTGGTTCGATGGAACCAAGGTTAGAGAATTCCTGGAGGACTATTATGTCTTCGGTATGAGCCATGGTTGGTCGGATAAACAGAAGTTGAAAGCTCTACTAGCCTATGTTGAACCTAAGATGAGGGTGTCGGTGACAAAGACGACACAAGGGCTGACAACATGGGTCGTGGTTAGACAAAAGATGCCGGAAGAATATGCGAAGTATGACGTCCCAACGACCATGCAAAATCTGTTGGAAGTGCGACGTTCTAAGTATGCAACTCTTGATCAATTCCTAGAGGATTTTGTGCGGGTTGCGCGGAGAGTACCCTTCCTAGATGAAGCCCAGAAGTGTCATGTCTTACTGACAAACTTCGCAGAGGACGAGAGGAAGAGTGTGGTAAGTCACGCTGCCCATTACCCTCGGAAGTGGAATGAAGTGGTTGAGATGGTCCGTGAGCTACCTTCCGTATTCAATTGAAAATGGTCTTTGGAACAGATGAAAGCAATCACTAGTGCAAGAGAGGGAAATGTTGAGGCAGCTACGGGAGGAAACTTGAAGGCCGAGGAGATCCTTAGTCTTCTTGTTAACCGTGGTAGCTTTGAAAAGTTAACCCTTCCTGCCCCAACAACTCAAGCACTTGTTGGAGTCGAAGAAGGTAAGGAAGAAAGAAAGAAGGAGAAGCAAAAGGAAGAGAGTGAGAGTGAGAGCGAGAGTAGTGATAAGGAAGACGCTAGGCAAAGGAGAAAAGAGAGGCAAAAGAAAAAACGCGACCGGGACTGGAAGAAAGATAATAAGAGTCGAGATTGGCAAAGGAGAGATGACCCCTTTCGATATTATTATTGTGACGAGGAAGATCATACTCTAACCCGGTGCCCAACAGTAGAGAAAAAACTCGAAGAAGGGATTATCAAGAAGAATGTCAATGGGCACATCTGTGATGCCAATTGGAACAAGGTAGACTTCCGAGTCAAAGGAGGAATGCGAGCAGTTATCCTAGAAAAGGCTACGGCCAATAAGGATAAAAAGAAGAAGGCTAGGGTTAATGTTGTCACCTTTGACGATATGCTACCTCCGGAAATAGTGGCTCGAGACGACAATCCTAGAAGCCAAAACCTGAATGTATCCCATATCAGTCAGAGAGAGGTTGAAGAAAAAAGGCGGGAAAAGGCTCAAAGAAAGCTAGACCAGCTGATTGATGGGACCAAGGACCTAGTGAAGGAAGGGAAAGGAAAGGAAGCTGCCGGAAAAAAGAGGAAGGTGGTCTTGAGATCCGAGGCCGAGGAGGGTGTCTCGATAGATGAAGTAGTAAAGAAACTACTTGAAGAAACCGAGATCACCCTATCCTGGAAGGAGGCGGTAACCTTGGTGCCAAAGTTTAGAGAAGAACTCAAAAAGATGGTTGAAAGGCAGAAGGTAGAAGTCAATAGTCTAAGACTCTTCACCCAGCATGTGGAAAGAGCCCCGCCTGGTACCAAGATGAGGTTTGGTAACAGGTCATGTGGGTACTTGAATATCTCCGTAAACGACGTGAAGGTTGGAGCCCTAGTGGACTCTGGGGCCGAGATGGTGCTTATGTCCTCGGCCACGATGAGATAATGTGGGCTTGGAATAGATAGGAAAACCAATCACCAACTCTCTAATATAGCCGGATTTCTGCCATTGGAATGATTCATTGATGATTTGCCTATTCGGATTGGAACTTTACGGGCCAAGATCCTCTGTTTTGTGGTCCTCACCTTGGATCATGACTGCATTCTCGGAGCCCCTTTCGTACATAGAATGGAGGCTTGTGCATTCTTTGGTCATGATGGGGCGGCTTGGCTTTCGCTCCAGGATCCTAACAATGGTCGAGAATAGGCTTTCGTGATAAGTGACAGACATCATCCTCGTCATCAGCGACATGTTAATTCTCTTAAGCATGGAGAATTTGATAAGTTGATTGAGGAAGTACGGACAAAGTTGAAAGAGAGTGGAATAATAGACGAAAAGACAACGATTAGAGTAAATGATATCGGTAAGATGCTCAAGCTCCTAGATAAAGAGAAGGAGCTGGGCGATAAGAGAGAGATGGAAGGATTCAAGGAAGCTGTGAGGGCGGCAAAAGATGCCATGATGCAACTTACCTTCTCTGCAACTGGGCCTTTTTGAGGAAAATAGCCACCGGGTCCAAGAGGAAGTATAAACGCAAGGGCGTTAAGAAGAATCCGGTGGTAGTCTTGATAGAAAAGGACTATAATGAAGCATTAGAAAAGGAAAGGAAGATAATTAGAGGGTTAAGAGAGGCTGCATTAAAAGGGGGAAGGGTTACCCCAGAGAGGTTCAAGATAATGAAGGTAGGAACCGATGACTTCCTTCTGCCGGCTCAGAGGGATTTCATATGTGAATTATGTTAGAAGTACAATGGTGCGGTTTGGTTTAATGATGAGGAGAGAGGACGACTGGATGTTGGCATGATCAAGATGGTCAAGATATGGACCGTTCCTCACATGCCTTGGAATGATAGACCCATGAAATATGCTCAAGAGGAAGAACATGAGGTAATGAAGTACATAAACCAGAAGATCGCCTCCAACGTTGCAGAACCAACAGATGGCGCCTATGCCAATCACTGGTTTTGTTTTTGGAAGCCAGGAGGAGGTCTGCGCTGGATACAAAATTTGCAAGAGTTGAATTCGGTAACTGTTTGCGATGCGGGTAGTTTACCGAACGCTGATCTACTGACCAAATCTTTCGCAGGAAGGAGCATTTATTCCCTAGTAGACTTATACTCTGGCTATGACCAGTTCTCAATAGACCCTACTAATCGACTTATGACCGCCATGCACACACCTAGAGGCCTCATACAAATGTGTGTGGTGCCTCAAGGGTGGATGAATGGGGTCGCGGTCGTCTAGCGAGACATGCTGAAGGTCATGGAGGACATATACGTTCCCATACATTGATGACAATCCAGTTAAAGGATCGAAAGAAAAGGATGAGACCTTAGTGGATGGTAGAGTAAGGCGGTTTGTGTGGGAACATGCGCAGGGAGTGGCGAAAGTACTAGAAAGGTTGTTTAAGTACCATCTAACAGCTAGCGGACCGAAATCACTACTGTTCCAAAGGGAGGTAACGATCTTGGGTTTCAGGTGCTTCTTGGAAGGGAGAAGCCCCGATCCTAAGAAGGTGGATAAAATCCTGAACTGGCCTATGCCTCTAAGGACGGTTGGGGAAGTAAGAAGCTTCCTAGGGGTCTGCAGCTTCTGGCGGATCTTCATTTCCGGGTTTGCCAGGATAGCCGAGCCTCTTAGAGAAATGGTGCGACAAGGAGCTAGCTTAGGGTGGTCTGACCAAAGAGAGAAGGCTGCGCGGACACTTCAAGATAAGTTAAGAGATGGCGGGCTAGTATTAGGAGTACCTTACTTCGACGATGAAAGGGAGAGGCCCTTTATCATTGAAGCTGACGGCGGCCCGATAGCATTAGGAGGAGTGCTCGTGCAGCGGGATGAGAATGGTAAAGAAATACCACTTAGATTTGAGAGTCACACCCTTAATTCGGTTGAGAGAGGTTATATCCAATTTAGGAAGGAGCTTCTGGCAATCCTGCACTGTCTCAGAGTGTTCAGACACTACACTATGGGATGAAGATTCATCCTAAGAACGGATTCCACGGCAGTAATTGAGGCTGTTAAGGGACATCAACAAGTAGATGCTACGGTCAGTAGGTGGATAGCTCATATATGGACGCATGATTTTATATTAGAAAAGGTACCTACTAATAAGAATCGAGCTGATGGGTTAAGCCGTGTGGAATGGGGATCGATAGATGATGAATCTCTTGAGGAGGCGCCCTTCGTTGACAAATTCCTTATGGGGGACGATGATGAAGGGCTGCCTCATGCTCCCAATTGTTATACGGCCTCAGCCATGGCCACCAGTAGAGAAGACTGCTGGGGAGAAAAGGAAGATCCCTGCCTCCACTACCTTTTGATTCAAGAGGATGAGGGAGAAGGGTGGTATAGGATGGTAGAACAGACCACTATTGCAGCTCATGAGCTAGCTGAGAGTTCAAGAATGGCTGAGCGTCGATTGAATGAGACAGAGGATGGGTCAGAAGATTTAGAGCAAAGTAAGGATGATGGGGAAAGGTTTAGAGAGGAAAAATATGATGGAGAGTATAAGAGGGTCGGTATGGTGATGAGTAGTATTCACTTGAACGAGTTCTACCATGAGAAAACAAAGAGGACCTTTAGGCTACGTAGGGGTCACCTCTTTGTAGATGCTAAGGAAGGACTACCGCTGCTGAGAGTGGTGTGTGGTAGGGAAAGGCAACTAGAGGTGATCGTCGCGCTGCGTGAAGGTCTAGCAGGGGGTCATAGGGGGGTTGATGCTACATACTATAAAGTATCTCGATTATATTACTGGGATGGTCTGAGGGATATGGTTATGAGATATTGTAAGTCATGTGAAGCCTGTAAGAAAAGTTCATCTATGAGACTGATTGAACCCATATACCCTATTGTTCTTGTTGAGCCTGGTAGTACTGTTCACCTTGATCTAATTACTATGCCACCTGGCAAGGATGGAATGAAATATATACTAAATATGAGAGATAATATGTCTGGTTATGTTGAAGCAAAAACCATTCGTAAGAAAACAGCAAAAACAGTGGCAGATTGGATTGAGGAAATCTACCTAAGGTACCCCTTCATACGTGAGTTTGTGGCTGATCAGAAATCATAATTCAAGAACGAGATGGTCAGAAAACTCATATTCAGACTTGGAGTCAGAGTCAGATTTGTGACACCATATCATCCTCAAGCTAATACACCAGTGGAAAGAGGTCACAGGACTGTAAAGGATGCTATATCAAAATGGTGTCGAGGTGATTCCAGAAGCTGGCCATCCTTCTTAAGAGTGGTTGTCTATGCTGACAATGTGACTGTCAAACGGACTACAGGTTCTGCACCTGTTACACTCTGGTATGGCCGGTATGCTACTTCTCCCATTGAGAACCTGGTTGAGACCTGGACCCATGAGACACAAAGAGAGTCATACTCCACAGAGGAGTTGCTGAGAATGAGGATCAGGCAGATCAAGGAAGTGGATGAGGCCATAATCGAGGTCATAAAGAGGATGTCAAACAGCAGGTTATCTGACCAGACACGACGGAACAGCAAGAGGTACATCAGGAAGGAACGACTTCAGATCGGGGATATTGTACGTCTGCATGATACATCTCTCGAGACGCAGTGGACTAAGAGATTGGAGGCCATGTGGATGGGACCTTTCAGGATCATCAGAGAGGTTGAAGGCAAGGTCTATGAGTTAGCAGAGATGGATGAAACGAAATCCCATGGTATAGTATCCGGCTCCCGGCTCCGAAAATTCATACTCAGAGATGCAGATTTGATTCCGAGTTCGGGCAAATTGATGTGGCGAGGCCCGAGAGCCGTCTAGCATCAGCCTGGACATACTGGGCCGTGGCCAGTGTGCCTTCAGCATTGGTTGGGACGTGGTCAGTGTGCCGCCAACCGCGGGATCATTATGTGTTGGGATATGGCCAATGTGCCGCCAGCTTCAGACGATGATTTTATGCTGAGACGTGGACAGCGTTACCGCCAACTACAGACGATATGCTGGGACGTGGACAGTGTTGCCGCCAGCTACGGATGACGACGATATGCTGGGACGTGGACAGTGTGCCGCCAGCTACAGATGATGACGATATGCTGGGACGTGGACAGTGTGCCGCCAGCTACTGATGATGATATGCTGGGACGTGGACAGTGTGCCGCCAGCTACTGATGATGATATGCTGNGACAGTGTGCCGCCAGCTACTGATGATGATATGCTGGGACGTGGACAGTGTGCCGCCAGCTACTGATGAGGATATGCTGGGACGTGGACAATGTTGCCGCCAGTTACTGATGATGATTACGTGCTGGGATGTGGCCAGTGAGCCGCCGGCTGTGGATGATGATGTGCTGGGACGTGGCCAGTGTGCCGCCAGCTATTGATGATGATTATGTGTTGGGATGTGGCCAGTGAGCCGCCACCTATAGATGATGATTATACGTTGGGACGTGGCCCGTATGCCGCCAGCTGCAGCCGACAGTCGGCTCGCTATGATTATGGTATGATTTCGGATGTCGGAGCTGGATACGAGCAGCCTATGATGGCTCGGCTCAATGGTGGACTCATGTGTCTGCCGGACCCAGATTGACCCCAGTTTTGTATGAATGTAAGTTAAAATTTTAAATTTCAGTTCATTGCATTGTATCTGGCTTGTCACGTGTCAGTCCTGGGATATGCCTGGGGGATTGGGAGACAGTTCTTGGGATTTCAGTTCTTGCCTCTTACTGTATTTTGTTGATCTGCATGGCATTGTGGAATGAATGGCTGTGGGATAATGTGAAAATATGTTTTCTTCCTCTCATTAGTCTGCGCCAGCGTTGTCACGCGGGGATCCCCGGGGCCCAAGCCGGGGTAGGGGTTTCAACCCCGGACCCCCGCCGCGGGGCTACCCGACCCCCGCCCCCGCAAAATCAACCCCGGCCCTGCCCCAACCCCGCACCCCCGCCCCCAACACCCCCGCACCCCGCAACCCC